AAATTAGAGCCAAAGTCACCGGAAATTGAAGCTTAATTGGCAGACGCTGGTGCTATAGGAGCTTCCATTGCTAAATTGAAAGCGAAATATGAAACAGAATTGGAAGGAATCGAAACAGAAAAGAAAGAAGCACAAAACACAGCTGCTAAAGCTAAGAAACAAGCTAAACAGTATGCAAGAAAGGTTGAAGAGGCCGAGAGAAAGCTTGCAGAATTCGAACAGAAGGAGTCTACTTTCAACACTCAAATTGGTAAGACACAAGCCGTTTTGAAGAAGACACAACAATCAGTCAGAGATGGCGAATTGAGAATTGCCGAGTTGGAAGATCAGGTTAGAAAGGCTGGTGAAGATCTGAACAACAAACAACTTGAAGTCGATAAAATTAATGCTGAACTTAAGAAGACTAAAAACAGGTTGAAAAAGATGCAAAAAGACGACAGCGATTCGGAATAAAAATAAATAATTATTACATTGTTTTAGTTTTTTTAAATTAAAATCTAGTTAAAATACAAGAGTCAAGTTATTAAAAAAATATAACATTTTTATTATTATTATTTATAGTTTTATTTCGACTAGATGCCTCGAGCCGATGAAATAAAGACTTTAACTTGGAGTCTTACTTAGAATCTATGGGTAGACTCTAATAATTCAAAAAAATGCATTTTCAAATAATTTTCATTGAGTGATGGATATTTCCGATGACAAAAAAGATTGGTGATGTTCTATTTTTAATAAGGAACCTTAGTTTTTATAACAAATCGATACAAATTGATTAAGTCATTTTTACTTTATCTGTAGAACCCAAAAATACATTTAAAAGTAGCGATTCATCTTAACAACATCACTGATGTTTTTATTTATTTAAAATAGTCAATTTACTATATATTGTTAATTGTAATATTTTAATTATGTCTATTGATTTTTTCTTAGTTTTTTGCTTCAAAAAATAAATTGTGTTTTTTTGAATTTCAAACTATCAAATTATAATTAATCATATTATTATTTGTACTATTTGTTTTTAGATGAAAAATATTAACTTTAATATGATTCTAATAGTTAATTACTATAGTTTGTAGTTTGAGAAAACCCATAATAGATAAAAATACCAAACTACTTTCATTTGATATACTTCAGAAACATACAACAGGACACAAAGAGTAGATATGCCGCAACTGTCGAAACTTGTTGAACCCGGCGAGTTGCGGTGTCGTGAATCCATCTCCGGAAGATACTTGACACAAAGAGGAGATGCCTGAAAAAAGAAACATCGAAGATGTCCTAATCAAGTGTTTGTTCCAGTGTTAGGTTTGAAGGGTAAAACCCGTTTTCTTTCCGTCTGTCCGACCCTTCAAAAAGACAGATTTTGTTAAAACTGTGTACATTAATTCAAGTTGTGGTGACGTGGCAAATTACAAAATTGACAATTTAGTTGTCAATGTGTTGCAAATATTTGAAAACATAAAGGTGACAACAAAAAATCAGTTAAGTTGGAAGACAACAACACTCTTTGGTGTGAAATTGACATTATCAGTCAACTCATTTTGTTTGGCGGTGTAAGTGGATGGTCTGCAATAACTCCCATCTACACCTTTCTTGTACACACGTATATTACCACCATAACCAAATGTAAAGAGATATTGATCGTCTTGAGAATTCATCCAAAATTCATAATTGGTGAAATTTCCAGTCTTCCCAAACTTTTTTGGATTCAGAATGCCGTTTCTCACGAGTGAAAAAATGTAAGAATTGCCACTGCTGAGCTGTTTGCTAACAGCATTGATATTTCCAGTGTACACGCCACCAAACTTGTTGTGATTTGTGTCTTCCACCAAAAAGCACAAGTTGCCTTTGTTCATAATTTTTGTATCAAACACTGACACGCCTTGTGACCAGTTGTCTTTATCTGAATCAAACACAACACTTCCTATTTTGTACCCCGTCAAATTTTCAAGATTGGCTTTTTCTTCAAGTGTGATGTGTTCGCGCTGCATTCTCTCGGCTTCCTTTTCTTCTTTTTCTTTTTGTAACTTCATTCTCCCAGCTTCTTCTTTTTCTTCGTGTTGTTTTTTCGCATTGATGAATTTTTCTGATTTAATAATTTGATCAATTTTAGTGTTGTATATTTGTTTGATTCTGTCTATTTGGTCTTCAAGTGGTTTTATATACATTTTGCACTTCTCTTCAAGAAGTAAAATTCTGAGATTGTTAATCTCATACAACTTGTTGTTGTCACTCTCTGTTGAGTACGCCATCTCGCTTTTGATTTTGTTAGATGTGTTATCCAAATCAGTGACAAATGTGTTGAGTGAAGTTGTGATGTTCTTCTTTCTATCAAATACCTCATCAAGTCTGTCGAATTGTCCCTCTGCATTTTCGATGCGTTGATCAATGTTAAGTGACTTGTTGTCAACAAAGTTGTATTCCTTATTATTTTTGTGGAGGTCTGACACCGCCTTTGCTGCGTTAGTGCAGAGTGCTGAGAGTGCTGTTAACTCGTTTTCCATGTATGTTTATAGAGTTTATTTGTTTTTATAATTAATTTTATATAAATCATTTAAAAACATCATTACCTCATTCATAACATTTTTTTTCAATTAAAAACCAAAAATGAAAATATTCAAACTTCCATAAAATGATTTTAATTTCAAGCAGGGTCTATCACGGAACAAAGAAAAATTTGGGACTTGTCCCAAAAATGCATTTTAAAATGAAAAGGTGTATTTTTTCTTTGTTTT